TCCCCCGCATCGTACATCGAAAACCTTTCATTCCAAAGTGCTACATAAGAATTAAAAAAATCAGCTTTTGTAGAAAAACGAGAAAAAATCAATATAAATGATTAAAATGTTTTCAATCAATTCCGGGCTAAAAAAGAACAAAGCCCCCCAAAAAAACATAAGTCAGAAAACATTGACTCGAATCAAAAGATTGGAATAGAGAAAAGTCTTCACTTGTGTACTCTGATACTCTTGTTCTCAATCAATATATTTTGATGTCTCCATAGAAAACACAAAAGAATTGACCTCCACTAATATCAGGCCTCAGTTCACAGTTTTGAAGCGATTCAGATGAAAGACCAAGTGATCGCAGTTTTGAATCGATTCAGATGAAAGACCACTTGATCATTCTTTTGAATCGATTCAGATGAATGATCAAGTGATCTCAGTTTTGAATCGATTCAGATTTTCAAAAAGGATTCGACACTAAAAAATAATTATATGTAAGTTGGAAAGAATTCTTTATCAGGAGTAAGATGAAGATTGACTCTCACTGATTGTAAAAGTTGTGCTGGGACCATAAACACTCCTGGTATTTGACAAACTATAGCTGATCCCATTCTCCAGTCAATACTGAGATGAAAATATATAAATATTAATATTAACTTGAAAATCGTTTCGTTTGGATAACTGAACAAATCTAAACTCACTCTTGTGGATGTGTAGAACTTATTGATTGAAATACCATGACTAATATTTGAGTTCCTAATGATAAAGCAACAATCACAGAAGATCTTGAAAGAAACCCTTCATGAAAGAAGAACGAACAATTGAAATTAAAGTGATCTCAGTTTTGAATCGATTCAGATAAAAGACCAAGTGTGTCTACAAAGATTACTTTACCATAAGGACCAGTCGCACCATGTATAGCATCTAATAAAACTTTGAGATGTTCGGATCCGAATGAAGATATGATTCGATTGAACCAAAATCAAAGTTTGATTTAAGTCATTCAAGGTAATCGGTCACTGAATCTACAATCTCTACAGTCAAGTATCCAATCGTTTTCTGGCTATCAAAGTGTAATAAGAGTATCAGTTAGATGAAACTAGCTTGACAGATTTGATATTATGAGAAACAGGAAATGAAGACATAGATCAGGTAATTCAATCTTCTGATACTCTTTGATGATTGAAATAATATTATCAGTTGTGTAGAGTCTTTGTGAATATTTGTTTGTCTAGGCCGATGAGCAGCAAGCGTTCATAGAAGTCGTAAGCCCAAAATTTGACTAGACCTTTCACTTTCAGAATTCGCCAGAGCTAAGAGTGTCGAATGCGGGGTTGGATCTATAACCAATCGTGGGTGATCATGTGCTTGAGTACAGATTGAAAAAGAGTCTCAAGATTGATCAATCTTCTAAATTTGATTACGGTCAGATTCATGTCAGATGAGGACATGCCATTGTTTTTATGATGAATGTGTTTGATTGTCATTTCATTTTTAATTATATGTAAAGAATTTAACGAGAGTCAAGAAACAAATTGATGAGAGTTGAGAACATATACGATTGACTTGAGTGAGAATAAAGAGAAACACATCACTTGTGATATCAGTAAATCGGAAGTGGCTTGTGATTGTTGAAGAGATAGTTTTTAGTCTATGATGATAGTTTTGACTACTTTATCCTTTGAGAGAGACGCAACTCTATGAAAAGATTCTCGGAAGACATCTACAGCATCCCGGACCGTAGGATTGTTTTTGTTTTTCATCCATTCCTTCAACTTGGCTTGCATGTTTAAGGCCCACTTGCGATATCGATAAGGAGTCCTGAGTCCTTTGTCAGGATCATATCGATCCCCAAACAATTCAAACCAGGTTGATTTGGCGAGCCCTCCCGCGCAGCCATCTGGAGCCTTGGAGCACCATATCAATAATTCTGAAAGTAAACAAGTTGATCCCGGAAACGATCGCGAGTTTTGGTGTTTCTTCTTAGGTGATTCGTTCAAGGAGGAGCTGTGTTCAGTTTTGTTTTCTCTCTTCCGTTTTGTTGACTTTACGATTTCGATTTCTGGTTCGGATTCAGACCCAGGGCTATTCCAATCTCCCATTGCTTCAGGATTGTCAAGTAGCCGAGAAATCGAGAATGAGGGCTTTGCACTACTTTCATTGATTTGTTCAATGAAAGTAGTGATGCCAATACATTGGTCTTCTGAAAGATTGAATGGGCGTATCAAGATCTCGGTGGTAGTCGAAGGGTAGGTAAAGGGTACAGTGACATCGGTGAGTCTCTATTGACCATCAAATTAGTCTACAGTTAGTCAACAGCATAAGTTTTTTGTTGAGATTGTAAATACTTACCCATTCTGAAGAACCCGGGCGCAAGACTACCAGTTTAGTCATCCACGATGGATCGTTAGAAAAAATATCCTTGGCCATCGTAACAAGTGGGCCACTCTCAATTAAGGCATAACGAGGGAAGTTGATAGCAGGGGCAGGGATATTGAAACATTCACCGGGCTAGTATTTCAATGTATGTCAATAAGATGATCAGATAGTGCGTATATCATCAGTATCAAAGAAATGACTTACCTTCATCCATACTCGTAATGTTAACTCGTAAGCAGCAATAGCATCCCTCGTATTCTGCATATGATTCCGAGCTGCATTTGCAAAAGCTACCGCTTCTCGTGGAAGGTTTTTGATTGCACGTCGATCAGCCTGGGGGTTGATGAGACGTTGAGATACATGGTTTGGAGCGATTTGGATCTCATTGTTGGCTGAAGACACATCTGATTGCGGTGGAAAAAGATTATGAAAATCCAGATTTGTTTCCATTCCATTTGACGATGACGGTGTGTTGTTTTGACGATGGTGAGAGCACGTGTTAGCCAGTGTGATACAACACTGCACAGAAGCAGAAATCAACGTAAGAAACCAAGATCGGGAAGAAATTATAGAATAGACAAACATAACTCACTTTTTTGCATAGTCCGTTTGGGCATCGTTGCAGTCGATGGTTTCGATGACCCAAAGCAGTACGTCCGTTTACACCAACACAGAGAAGATCATTGGAGACCTTTTTTGTGACCGATGTAGAAGCTGAATCCACTTCTGAGTTCAACAAATGGGCTAATGATTGTGGATTGTTGGCTCTTTCATTGTAATGTTTCACGGCATCATCTACATCTTTAAGAAAAGGTGTGATGAAATGCTTTGGGTTAACCAGGCACTAAAGATTAGGGATATGGAATCAAAATCAGCGGACTTTTCAAATTGTTGATTGTGTTATCATACATACCTTCAATCCAATGAGGTGAGTCTGTAAGCGTTTGACATATGTCAAAGGTACTTTAGCACCGGATGCTGTAAAACATTTGGGGCATCCAAACCCAGTCCGGATTGTTGGTCTTGGAGGGTAAGGGAGCCTCTTTTCAAGGATAGGGTAGGATGAAGTTAAGTTGAACATCTTGATGATGCCTTCTTTTGATGCCTTGATGATGACTTCTGTTGAAGTCTTGATGATGAAATTTTTCAAGTTTCATCATCTTCATGTCCACGTATTCCAATAGCTCGGACCAGCTTGGTTCCCCTGGTATGGTACGCTGTACAAATGAATTGTGAAGTGCCACCAGTCTTGAGCACACTGTATGATGGGCGTACAGAAAGCCACTATTTTCTGTAGCCCAGAAAGAGTCTCAGAGAGAGTCTCAGAGCGAGAGAGTCTCAGGATAAGACTGATACTGTTACGCTCCCGTCTTCTTCTTTTCTTCTCATTACTTTTGGTTATTCTATTTCTGATAATCCTACCTCCTTACATACTTTTCGAACACCTATCAAATCGAAATGGTTAATGGACTCAACCAATGTCCTTCTCATCTTCTACACCCATCTTTTTGAGAAGCATGGAACCTATCACTCGTCCTTTGATCCTCTTGAAGTCTCATTCTACCTTTAACTGCTCTGACAACTCTAGAGAAAAGAAGACCCAATGTAAATTTGATCAACTCACTTGCGCTTTCAAAAAGGTTTTGGTGAGCTTTAGACCATGTGAGCATCGTCTAAACGGAACTGGATTATTGTATCCTAAACCGAATGAAGATGGTACCCAAGATCTTCAGATATCTAACTTGAACTAAAACAACTCGAGAAGGTTTTGAATTGTTTGATGTTACAAGATCCAAGGATTTGTTGACAACACGACTTGTATCTGAAATACAACGGTTTCTCCCAATTCGCTTATCATAACGGAAGATAGCTTGGAGTTTCTTTTGTCAATTCCTCGTCCTCATCCTCATGGTGTCATGTCAGTTTGGCGAGTTGTTATGAATTGCATTCCCATCTGTGAACAATATGTCCATTATGGTGTAGAGGCAAAAGACTCGGGTGTTGCCCTTGCTTGTTTTTGAGCTTGTGTTCAAGTCTCGCTGCCTGATCCCCTTTTTGCAAACTCTACGCCGTACCTCAGAACGTCCCAGGGACCGTGTTCAGGGGTCACCAAGGCGGTTGCTGCCCCCCAAAAATGGTGATGGGAACCGCATTTGTGCGGTCCCATCTGAAATCGTCTCAGAAACGACACAAGTAGTT